ATCGGTTTGGGTGGTTTGACACTGGATCTTCGCGAACATTTACAAGCTTCACGTGAAGCAGCTTTGGCCAAACGCGAAGCTCAAGCGGCCAACTCCGATGTGGAGTCACTGTCGGAAGAGGTTGAAGATCAAGACGAATCCTCCAGCTCGTCTTCAAGTGATTCTCCCAGCTCAGATTCCGATTTAGATAGAAAAAAGAAGGCTAAGAACCATCACGCTGCTCGAAAACTAAAAGAAAAATCCCCGACGGAGAACAGGGCAGTAGAGAAAAAGAAAAATACCACCCAATTCGCTCCGAAAGAATCGACAAAATCGGGTTCGAAGTTAAGAGAAAGACCTTTGGATACGCCATTTTTCAATGATATTCGCAATTCTCCACCGCATTCTCGCGCGAAAGATCGAGATCTGAGTGCAGTCGAAAGGAAGCCAAATAATCCTAATCCTGCTCAACCAAGAGATCGACCTCTGAGCAAATCGCCTGAAATGAGTGTGCGTTCCATGATAACCGTCCCTAAGCAGCGACAGCGTAGTCCGTTCGATCTGTCACCCATTGAGAAAGAGGTTCCTTCTAGACACCAAGATGATCGGCGGCACCGGCGAGACTCTCCAATCGGACGTAGTCCACCACGAGCTAACAAGTCCACCTCTAGGCGACAACGGTCATCAAAGGATCGCTCGCCTCATCGAGTTGACACCCATTCTACACGGAAGTCATATAAAGATAGTACAGATCATCATTCTCGACGTCGTCAGAGTCCCAATGAACCTTTCTACTCCAATTCACCACGTGATCACACTTCAAGATCTCATCGTTCCCCGGATCGATCAAATAAGCGCGACAAGGAGAAGAAAGAACGTCATAGCTCTCGCTCCCCAAGGGCAAGAAGCCCTTTTTCGCATCATTCTTCGAAAGATAGACTCCGTCCCATACCGTCATAACCCACGTTCTGCTACTGGTTTTTTTTTACTTCCCTGTACATTTACCTCGCCTTGTTATTCCACTTTTCGCCTGTCTTTGAGGTAATACAATAAGGTCGGGTCTCAGTGCAAGCAGTACTTCTGTATCCTGTTGCCTTGGTTTTTTATCTTCGTCAAAACCAAATTAAAGTAAAGTCGACGATCTCAGTACGACGGAATGTTGTGGATTCTGAGCGCAGCATTTTTAGCAACAGATTGAAGGTAGCAAGTGCCATACTTTGTTCGCAGAGTACTTCAAGTACGCTTAGGAAAAGCTTTACTGGTGCGTTGCTGTTTTTGGCCATCTCCGTTGAAACTAGTCCATGTTCGATATATCTTACCAAGACTTCGCTGGGTCTCTTCATTCTCACGCATTAGCTATACAAACGCTGAAAGTAAGGGAAATTACACCAATACGTGAATTCGACCGATTCGTAGGTCTCTAGGGGACCACCAGGTACCGCGTCCTTGACCATGAATAGAATGCAAGGTGAATGGCTCAAGCAAGAATTATGTATGTATCCCACTCGGTTTCTATGAATTACTTGCACCTATCACAACTACTGTATTGCCAAGGGTATATCTGATCCATATTGAGGGTAGGGTTACGTATGCAGCTACTTTTGAAAGCTAATATTCCGGTCACTTCTACCAATATTGGATACCAACGTCAAAGCAGACTATGTTGTTTGATGAGCACAAAACTAGTGTTTGTAGGAAACTGGTATTTCTGATGCCTCACTATCATCTGCTTTGGTGCTATGTGGATTAGAACAGCCGCACGACCTTAGTGGTTGGAAACCGCGCACGGCACACCTCGTTTTTCGTTCAGCGAAACCGTAAAGCGGGCAGTCGCTAGGGTCTACCTGGGATTGTTCAGGCGAGCTTTCGTCGTGGTTACTACATGATGCGTGACAGTCGCTGAGGCCTGCTCACGTCAAGGTACTACTCACGATTACTGACACCTTAATCGTTCAAGTACTCAGCACTGGGTTAGGTAAACGAATACAGCCAATCGATCGCAGTTTCACCTACTGCTTCTTATCCAGTGTTTTAGGCTTGAGCTACCGGCCTATAATAGACGCATGTCCCAACAATCGACTCTATTATGTTCCTCAACATATTACGAGATTCGTCCTTTGAACCAAGAGGCCGACAAAATTCTGTCGGAAGATTCGAGTCTTAGTGACCTTTAACCAAGATTGCGAACAAATCCACAAGGTCAGTCAGCCGGTGCTGAAACATTTCGTGGTCAGAATTGGCTGCCGTCATCCTATTAGCGCTACTCGTTTTCATCCTCCCCTTGCACCTGCAGATCACCCTGGATATAGGTAAAATTCTGTACATAGGATGAGTAATCAGATTGCCTTCGATCCCAGTCATATGGTTTCAGTGATATCTACTGAAATGCAATCTGCGGTAAAAAAAATTTCCGCATAGTCATCCCAGAGATAATATGACGAAACCGCGGTAACTATGTGAAGCCAGCAGAAGGACAGTCTTTGTCAGGCGAAGGATATTTAGTACCAATTAGGGCATGTCGCGAAATATATTACAACTTCAGAAAAGTTGGACTAATTCTATGGCACTAGAGGGGTTTGTAGAAGGAAGAGACAGATGGCTTAATCCTTGCATCTTTCCTGCGCAGTCGCGCGATTGTGTTAGGAAGCCGGCTGTTAGGCAGAGGAGTTGCAGCGCGGGGCGTATCTGTCAGTCGAGCACAAATTCTTCCAAGTATCAAGCGCAGGTTTCTCTGGCCCCAACAGTGTTTTTTTGTTGTGAGGAACTGCCATGAATCCATCCGGAAAGCTTTGAACTCGATCGCACAATGTTCAATGATATGTGATTGTCTGCACCAGCGTATTCCGGTGTACTATCTGTTAAAGTTGACGATTTGATAGACCGCCTGTTCTCACGGTGAAACGGTTTGACATTCCCCGAGGCTTTCTGTCTAGATTGGAACCCAGTTACCGATCATTCCCAGCCTGTCTTACATGCAGTGTAAGTCCTTCTGGGATGTCGTCACTCCCGGATCCAATCAAAACTGAATCTCGTACTGGTGATCATAGTGTGGTGGGGCTTTTTTCTGTTCAACTGCGAGGAGTGGGTGAATGGTACAACCAATGACCGGAAGGTCACGAGTTCGAATCATTCAACAGAGATGCATATCCATGGTTCCCATTTAGGATGGAGCAGCTGTACGGTGCTCTTTAACTTGCTAATCTGGAGACGATCAAGTGTCCCAATGCTTTTCCATATTTCACTGATAGGTCAAAAGCCTGAACTAACCTCTTCAGTGGAAAAACGAATAATTTGGAGGCTAGTCAGCTGTGTTCGACAAAATGCTAGGATCTTCTATAGAGCCCTAGCTAGGTATTGCGTGTGGACAAGGACAGAATGTTGGTACTTGTCCATAATCTGGCCTGATTGTAGTGTTTCTGGCCATATTTGATGTGATTTCTAACGGGAAGTCGCATGAGGGCCCACACAAGAAGCGGTTGTTAAGTTAGACTGCTAACCAAATGTTGTCTTGCTGAGCGGTAGTGCAACTTTGTATTGGCCCCTTGGCTTCCTGCTCCGCCCCCTATGGTACATCAAAAGGCGCAGTAGCTCTACACAGCCCTTTATGGAGACAAAGGAAAATTATTACAATTGTATTTATAGGGTAATCACAGGGTGTTCCACAAGGTCGTCCCAGACTCCCCGTGAGGGGGCGAGAAGCGTCGAGTCGCAGATGCTCAACTCGGATTGGCTGGCATTCTGATCAATCAGGGCATTCCTTCGTTTGGCCCGTGCCCTGCGCGTTACACATCCGTCCAAATGATGTGATGTCCGGTTATTAGGGACGGATGGCCTCCGTACACCAAACCACAGGGACTGTGCTTAGAACCATTTAACGTTACAAGGTCATGATGGTCGAAACACATGGAGTTGGTTGCAGTGGAGTCTACTGTCACTCTAAGTCTTAGGACCTCACAATCTTCTACCAAGAATAACTCATGCAACAGTCTTTCGCTTCGGTTGTCTGAATCTCGACCAGTCGCCACTTAGCTCCGAATCACGTCCGTATGACATGACTGCCTGTACTGGTGGGCGTGTAGTAGTCCCAACCACCCATTCAGTTTTATTCCACTACAATGAAACGTGTGATTAGGACCATTTTTCTTAATTGAATGAGGAGAACCTCAGTCTGCGAAAACGGGAAATAGAACTTGACCGAAACTGTGGAGAACCGATGTGTTAGAAGGGTGTACGCAGGATGAGGAAAATTTCCCCTTCCTAAGGTACAATGACCGATCAGCACACGACGTTCCGCGTTTCAAAGCAATACCATTTACGGCGAAGTTCTTTTGCATTCTCCACAATGGCAAAGTGTGAAAAACGGTATTGCGTACACTTATGAGTCATGATGACTTTGAGGAACTGCATCATTCAATGAAAAAGTACGCATAGGTCATTCTATCAGGGATTTGGGCCAACATTTTTCCCCGTGGTCCACTTATCGCACCACAAAGCCTGTGTTACCCTGTGAACAACATTTAGCACTGGAATAATTAAATCTAACTTGTATCCCAGTTCTTCTAAACAACTCCACGTTTGCGGTGAAAATTTCACCAGTCCGAATCAACTACTTCCTACATAAAAGGGACGAGTGAAATGAACTAATGTAACGTGGTAAAGTTGTGTGGTGGTCGTCAATGTCCATCATGTAGACCCTTACGAACTAGTGATCTGTGTGCCACCTGGAATGGAAGCAGAAAGTAGGGAAATTTAAGACGAAAACCAATTCCACTATAGCGATAGTGATTGACACTTACTGGATTGTTGATATGTATCAATTAATCGCACGTTTATTCGTCCTACTCCCTAATTCCGTTAATGTCAACCTGTGTCGCAACTGCCACAGTGAATGGTTCCCTGACCATAATCTGGGTTAAATTATCAGAAAATTCATGCCAAGTCCATTCAACAACAGCCAGTTAATGTAGCCGAATTTTCTGCTTATACTGTTTACAACAAAATTTTCAAAGTGATAACTGGCTAGTAAATCGGAATTAGAAGTGCATGACGTCCACATTACTTCTTTCCGTTTGAGGAGTGAGAGCGGTATCAGGATCCACATACATATTGAAGTGGCCAGTACCTTGGAGACCTGGGCAGGCTTCAATGAACACGGTTTTCCCCTTCCGAAGAGACGGTCATTCAGAAGAGATCACCTTTACGCTGTTCCATTAGGTTTGTTTGGATATCAAACCGCCTCCAAAGGGACAGTTTTGTTGGTCCTTTGAGGTGATCTCTCCAACGGTAGCTGTGTTATACGTTCAAAGTTCCGTCAAACATATCACATTCCATGGGAGCCAGCCGTCAAGTACGTTCCAGTGAATGTTAGGAGAGATCCTACGCCAAAACTGTCTTACCGTTCACATTAGGCGCTGCTTTCCTGTCCAGCATCACTGTGAGCTCTGATTGGCCAAAAATTCGGACCCAACAGCCAATCATGTTTCAGGATCTACTGAATAGCCGTTGCCACTGTCGTGTCCAGAAGGTATCCGAGTTGTCATTGCATATCTGAATGCTGTCCCCACTCAAGTGCCCGGTGCCGGAAAAAACACTCGCCGACAAGGGACACAAGAGCTTTATTGCGAACAAGCGAGCGAGTGCAAAAAGTACAACGGCCTCGCGCTATGTATTGAGGGGCACTGTCTGACCTTGATCCAAAGCTATCAGCCACTGTCTGACTTTGCTCCAAGGTTGTCTGACTGGCGTTTAGTGGAGCTTGAGGGTCTCAGTGGCTTTTGGGTATTGTGGGTTAATCATCAGGAATCTGCCAAGCTTTACATAGGTTTTTAACCTTGTTTACCAATGCACCTGTTTCCCCGTGGTGTTTCCTCTGCTGAGCAATTAGATGAGGTACTGCCGTTGTTACAACTTCGGGGGAAGTTCGGTAATCCAAGAGGCTATGTTGTTCAAAATCTTGAATT